AGGTATCATTTCTAAAATGTCAGAGCAGCAGAGTATCTGAGTATCTGGTATTTGAAACATTTCTTTTTTGGAAATAATGTGTTTCTTATTGTTTTATAATTCCCAGTGTTTGACATGGATATTATGAAGAATTACAAGCAATCACTTTTCTTTCTCTGTTTATATCTCTGGCATGTAATATTTTATATTACTATGGATTAAAATAGCACATACAGTGCAGGATTGACTTTGGTCGATATGACTTGCCATTTATAAAAAAATATTTGTTTTCAGTTTATTAATGAGTTTTAAAACCATACAATTTAATTTATTGGGAAATTAAAATTTCTTTCAGTGCCTTTATACTACTAAGAAAACCTGAAGCCCAGAGGCGCCTGGGTGGCTCAGTTGGTTAAGCGTCTGCCTTCATCTCAGGTTGTGATCCCTGGGTCCTGGGATGGAGCCCCACATTGGGCTCCCTGCTCAGCGGGGAGTCTGCTTCTCCCTCTACCCCTCCCCCTCTCATGCTTGCTTGCTCTCTCTCTCTCTCTCACTCTCACTCTCTCTCTCAAATAAATAAAATCTTAAAGAAAAAGGAAAAAAAAAACGAAGTCCAATAATATTCAAATTACTTGTCTAGATTAACTTTAGACTTAAACTCCATTCTCCTGATGACTAGTTAACCAGCCTAAAGTCCCTCTAATTTAGACTAGGGTATTTCAATAATGTATCAGCATGAATTTATGTGGATTTATAAGTATATATCATTTGACCTACAACCGTCATTCATTGAAATCTCTTTTTATGGATATGAGTGTGACTGTTTTGAAAAGTATCAATGCTGGGGCACCTGGGTGGCTCAGTTGAGTGACGGACTCTTGATTTTGGTTCAGGTCATAATCTCAGGGTCCTTGGATTGAGCCTCAGGTGGGGCTCTGGGCTCATTAGAAAGTCTGCTTGGGATTCTCTCCCCTCTCTCTGTCCTTCCCCTTGTTTGCATGTTAGGGTGTGTTCTCTCTCTAAAATAAATAAATCTTTAAAAAATATATCAGTGTTAAAGTAAAAAAAATGCAAAAACAATTTAGCCTGTTATCAATATTCACTACTTTCAGAAATCATATATGAAACAGTTTTCTAGTGGCCTTTATATCTATACTCACCATTATATGGTTTATATGACACTAGATACATCAGTTTTCCCTTATTCTATTCAATTCTTAGTAGAATTTAAGGCAATGTAAACTGATTAATTGAAATGTAAAAAAATAGGAATTACAGAAGTACTTCTTGATGACATATAAAGATAAGGGGAAAACATGATATATTCTGGAAAATATCCTGTTAGAGCTGACTCCTTAATAATATTGTAGAGAGATAAATAGATGCTTTACCTTTACCTTTTCTTCAGTCATAATTCATTTTGTTATCATGCTTTTTAGAATCAGTGCTATTTGGATGTGAGATGGTATTTTTCCATGCTGCTCTGGGTTTAGTATTTTATATTCTTTTTCTTGTCCCTCCTTCATGATTACATAATGGATGAGCTAGGATTCAAATGCAAGTTTTCAGTTTCCATATTTTTCTCTGTAGTATATTCCTGCAAATACACTTCATGTAACTTACTAATTAGAGTGCAATATTTATGAAGAGACACACTAAAGGATATAGGGAGTGGGAAGAGTAGTAGCAGGACAGATTCCTTTGAGACTAATGGAGCCAAGCAATTATTCATTGAACAATTGCCTTTCTTAAGAAATTATATAGTGGGGACTTTACACATATGATGTAATTTTAGCATAACTATACATTTTTGCAGATAACAAAAATGATGCTATGAAGAAACTGAGGCTGCGGTGTTAAAGAAAATTCCCCCACATCTCAGAACAGTTAAGCCACAAAATCATGGTCTAAATCGTCGTGTCCAATGAGATTTGAATTCAGATTGAATTCAGATTGAAATCTTGGTTTTACCATTAAGTGTGAAAATTTACTCCTGTTACTTAACCTCTCTGCTTTAGTTAAACAGAGATGACATATTTGGATTTTTATGAAGATTAAATGACAATGCAAGAAAAGTGTTTAGCAAATAGTGGCCAATAAATATTAGTTGATTTTGCTATTGCTGTTATTTCAATTTAGAAAGGTTTTGTAGATTAAGCATTTCATTAGTGATTTGAAATATGATTATAATATTGAAATATTTTTTGGATTTTGCCATTGCTTTTACAGAATTTTCCTGGTTGTACAGTAATGTGATCTATGACTTCTCACTTAGTAGATGACTTCTAACTTTTCTGTCTCTTTTCAGTGATTGCTATTTGCTTTTTTCATTAATAGTACTTGATACCTCCTAGAAATAAAATTGAATACATGAATAAGTAGTGATTTATATTTTAAATATATCTAACAGTTTTTTTAATTTTTAAACTTATTTTATTATTATTATTTGTTTCTGATATGGAATTAGGACCATAGATATAAAAACAGATTTCCTAAATTTTTACTAGCACTCAATTAATAAAGCACAAATAAATGGACTTTTCAAACAACTAGATTATGACATTTATTCACACCTCCAGAATGTGAAATTTTGTCTTCATACCTAATAATACTTTTTAATGATTCACATTAAGTTCAACACTGAATATATAGAGAAAAATATTTTGTTTTATTACTAAATGCAGTCTTTTGATAAATTAATACTTCTTGTATGGTATAATAGTGTGAGAAATAGAAATATTAAAATATAGAATAACAATTAGAATCTAAATAATTCTGTTTTTCTCCATGTGACATACATCCCACCAAAAGGCACAAATAAAGTTTAATTAGTACTTGGGTGGCTAAAGGGAACTCATGCATTTTTTTTTTTTTAGGAAATGTAATTATATATGCAATTGAAAATGGCTGAAAATATGAGTCAATCCCCTTTTATTAGTGGAACATAAATTCTGACAATTATCTAGTAATAAAATCTAGATTTATTAATATCTGTGCTACTTCTACTTTCTGTAGACTATACAAGATATTTATGGGTAGATGATGTGACCATCTTTACTCTGCATAGTTGCATGAATTAATTACAGCCAGAATGGAAAATCTATTAAATTTTTCCATGCAAATAAGTTCACCATTTTAATTAATATTTGTAGTACCAATAATAACAAATGTTTCTAAATCTAGAAAACTGAATTGATGATAATTTAAAGACATTTTAACTTACTGCAAAAGCTAATGCATAGTCCACAAAGATTGGACAGAGAACATTTTGATGAAATTTGAATGCCCAGAAGGCAAGGATCACATATGAGGTAAGTGATAGTTTCTCATATACCCTCCTGCTATTAAACATTATAAAAATTCATCAAAATTAAAATTCAGTACATATCATAAGACCTTAAATAATAAAACCTTGAAAAGTCTTCATTTACAAGGTTCTGTTGTACTTCCAGTAGGATATTTAAGATTTCCTTTTTCTGTATGTATGTCTTTCCTTTTTAGTTTTCCCATGCTCATGTTTTCAATTATCTCTATGCTGTTTAGCATCTTCTTTTCTTATAACATTTTCTACATGATAGAGCATTATAGAGATAGAATTAAGGACTGCCTTTGGGGGTGAGTTTATAGCCAGTGTTAATGGAATAAAAATTTATAACTCCGGAACTACATCTCTGTTTCTAAATTTAGAACTTGATGTACCTTGGGTATTTATTACTTTACTCTTTCTAAACAGTGTCTCTACTGCAAATGTTTTCTTTCACAGTATTGTCTATGTAATACAAAAATCATTTCAATTTAGTGAAAAGAAAATAATTTATTGACTCTAGAACTTAGGAATTTGAAGCCAATTTTATTCCAATAATTATTCTGTATGATTGTTTTATATATAAATATATAATGAAAGTTCCTGGATCTATAACAATACTTTTAATTTTTTTAATTAAGGGCCTTGTCATAGGATATCCATGCATCATGAGTAATTTATGAAGTATATCTGCAAAAATTCATAAAAATGATGAAGAAAGAATTAATTTGATTGCACGCACACATATACATTAGCACACAGATATATAACTGAGATTATATGTATATATGAGATAGTGCTTAATTTTGTCAAGTTTTTTTTCAAATACAAAGAATGTAATATTTTAGTAGTGATGATGCCTAAGTTAGAACATTTTAGTTTTCAGTAGCTTATTTTAACCTTTTTATTTTGTCATAATTTCAGTCTTCAGAAATGTTACAATACTAGACTTAATTTTTCTTCTTTGGTAGCAGATAACCCCTATCAAACCTAATTACCTAAAACATTTTACCTTAAAACTAGAAATTTTAAATGCAGGTAACAAGAAAGTGTATCATTCATCCATATTTGTTGCAAGAAAATCTTATTTCTCTTGAAATTTAGAGATCAATTTGTTATAATTAAAATTGTTTTAATCTTCATTTAAATTTATACATTTTGTTTACAGTCTACATGAAAATATACTGACCCTATCTCTAAGTATATTCATGAGAATTTTTATATTTAGGACTAAAAATGAGCTGTATATGAAGCAAAAAAAGAATAAGGTCAGTTTTCTTGGACATTTAAACCTGTGTTAATGATGAAATTAAAAAACATTCATTATTACCAGGAAATTCTATATTTTACACATCAAATATATTTTTCCTGATAATTAAAATATGTATATTTCTATGGTTTTGATTAGAACATTAATTTTTTTTCTATCTCCAAGAAAGCCTGATAATACTGATTCCATTTCTCCTTTTAAGTAGAGCCACCAAATAAAACTTAGATTGGAGATAACTTTGTTAGAAGGGTGAATAGAGACATAAATTTAGTAATCAAAATTTTTGCTTAGTAGGCAGAATTAGAAGCAGTGGAATGGGACTTTGAAGACCAGCATTCTCACCCAAATTCTGTCACTGAGATATAATAAAAAGTTGAAATATTACTTAATCTCATTTGACCTCAGTTTCTTTATTAATGAGTATTAGGGATAATCTCTCAGATTTCACCTGTTAAAATATCTACATAGTGTGGAAAATCCAAATTTTAGAAAGTTTAGAAAATTTGATACATCTAGAAAAGGTATTTTAAGATTGAAAAGCCAAGAAAAGTACTTTTCCAAGAAAAAGGTACAAATAAGAGATTCTTTAGTAAAGTAACACTTCCAAGGTTAGCCATCTAATCCTAGATACTAATCCTTTTTTTTCATTATGGTGAGAACACTTAACATGAGATCTGTGATCTTAAAAACTTTTTAGGTACACAGTATAGTATTGTTAACTAATACATGATGTACAGCAGATCTCTCTAACTTGTTAATCTTATATAACTGAAATTTTGTACCTGTTGAAGAGCAAATCCCCATTTCCCCCTCCCTCTATCCCCGAAACCACTATTATACTCTGTTTCTATGAGCTTGACTACTTTAGATGTCTCAGATAAGTGGAATCATGTAGTATTTGTCCTGGGACATATTTATTTCACTTAGTGTGATGTCCTCCATATTCAATCATGTAGTTGCATGTGAAAGGATTTCCTTCTTTTTTAAGGTCAAATAGTGTTCCGTTGTATGCATTTATCCATTTTCTTCATCCATTCACTTGTTGATGGACATTTAGGTTGTTTTCATATTTTGGCTATTCGAATAATTCTGTAGTGAATGTGAGAGTGCAGCTGTCTCTTTGAGATCCTGTTATCAATTCTTTTGGATATATACCCAGGAGTGGGAAGACTAGATCATTTGGTAGTTCTATTTTTAATTTTTTGAGGAATCTCCATACTGTCTTCCATAGTGCTAGCACTATCTTACATTCAAATCAACAATATACACGGGTTCCAATTTCCCCACATTCTCACTCACACTTACTATCTTTTGTTTTTCTGATAACATGCGTGAGGAGATTAGGGATAATGATTAGGGTTGGCAAGCATATTTTCATATGTTTGTTGGCCATTATATATTTTCTTTGGAGAGATGCCTATTCAAGTCCTTGGACCATTTTGTTGCTGAGTTGTAGGAGTTTTTGAAATAGTCTGGATTTTTTTTTTTGTTTTTTGTTTGATTTTGCTTTTGTTGACTGTTTTGATGATAAATCTAAGGATTACTGTCAAGAATAATGTCATGTTTTTCCCTATATTTTCTTTTAGGAGTTTCACACTTTCAGGTCTTATATTTAGGTCTTTAATCCATTTTGAGCTCATTTTTGTATATGGTATAAAATAGGTGTCTAATTTCATTCTTTTGAATGTGGATATCCAGTTTTTAAAACACAATTTATTGGAGAATCTGTCATTTCCTTATGTGTATTTTTTGTACCTTTGTTAAAGATCAATTGACTGTACATGCATGGGTTTATTCACAAATGTGTGGAAATTTAACAGCACACTCTTAACCAGCCAGTGGGTCGAAGAAGAAATCAAAAGGGAAATTAGAAAATGTCTCAAGATAAACAAAAACACAAAATGCCAAAACATATGGTACAGAGTAAAAGCAGTACTAAGAGGAAAGCTTGTAGCAGTAAACACGTACATTAGAAAAGATGAAAGATCTTAAATAAACAACCTAACTTTACAACTCAAGGAATTAGAAAAATAACATTCTAAGCCCAAAGCTAGCAGAAGAAAGAAATGATAAAGGCTAGAGCAGAAATAAATGAAATATAGAACAAAAAGTACAGTAGAAAAAATCAAAACTGACTTGCTTTTTGAAAAGATAAACAAACTTGAAAAACCTTTTACTAGACTAAGAAAACAAAATACAAACAAAATAAGAAATGGAACAAGAGACATTTACAAGGAATGCTTCAGAAATAAAAAAAGGATCATAAGGGACTACTATGAACAGTTATATATCAACATATTAGATAACCCCGAAGAATGGTTATATTCCTAGAAATATACAGCCTACCAAGACTACATCATGAGGAAATAGAAAATCTGAAGGGATTAATAATGAGTTAGGAGTTTGAATCAGTAATCAATAACCTCCCAGCAAAGAAAGTCCAGGACCAGATGGCTTGTCTGGTAAATTATAACAAACATTTAAAGAAGAACTAACATCAATTCTTCCCAAAGTTTTCCCAAAAATTAGAAAAGGAAGGAACACTTGCAAACTCATTTTATGAAGCCACCATTACTCTGATACCAAAACCAGGTAAAAACACTACAAGAAGAGAAAACTATAGGCCACTATCCCTGATGGGTATTGATGAAAAATTCCTCAACAAAATGCTAGTAAACTGAATTCAACAACACATTAAAAGGATCATACACCATGATTAAGTGGGTTTAATGCAAGGATAGTTCAACATATACAAACAAGTAATGTGATACACTAACAGAATGAAAGACAAAAATCATATGATCAATTCTGTAGCTGCAGAAATATCATCTGACAACAATAAACATGTTTTCATGATAAAAACTCTTAAACTGGACATAGAAGGAATTTACCTCAATATAATAAAAGCCATATATGAAAAGCCCGTGGCTGACATCATATTCAACCTTGAAAACCTAAAGCTTTTCCTCTAAGATCTCTATCAAGGCAAGGATGCCCACTCTAGCAACTCCTATTCAACATTGTACTACAAGTCTAGAGAAATTGGGCAAGAAAAATAAAAGGCATTTAAATCAGAATGGAAGAAACAAAATTATCTTTGTAGATAGTATGCACTTTTAAGTAGAAAACCTAAAAGATTCCACAAAAATATTAATAGAACTAATGAACAAAGTAGTCAACTCACTGACTTACAGATATTAAATGTAAACTGTAAAGAGTCCTGACCTTAGATTCATGCTGGTGCAGAAAAAGTGACTTACTAAAGATCATACAACTTGTAGTATTAGAACCCAAAACATGTTGACTCCTTTGTGCAGCAGGAGCAACGGTAGTAGTAAAACCAGTGGAAATTATAATGGCAAGCCTTCTGTTTTAAATACTTTATACACATTAACTAATCTAATTATCACAACAACCCTATGCAGTAAATTCTATTATCAAGTTCATTTCACAGATGGGGAAACTGAAGTAGAAAGGTTATCTAAGCAGATAACAAAGTTCGTAGGTTGCAGATCTGGATTTAAAAATGTAGGTACTCTGGTTCTCAGGGTACATACTGGTTTCTTAAAAAGTGAAAAAAAAATTAAGTTGTCATTTTCTTTCCAAACATCACAAACATAAATCGTTTTTAAACTCATAAAAGCAATTTCAAAGGCACAACTAAAATGTTTTGGGTCAGCTTGATTATTAGCACAGATAATGCAGTGTATACATATAGTTGACCCTTGAACAACATAGGGGGTAGGGGCACTGACCCCCCTGCACAGTGGAAAATCTGCATATAACTTTTGACTTCCCCAAAACTTACCTAGTCGTAGCTTACTGTTGACTGGAAACCTTACCAGTAACATAAACCAGTCAATTATAATATATTTTTGTATGTTATTTGTGTTACATACTGTATTCTTAAAGTAAGCTAGAAAAAAACATAAGGAAGCCAAAATATATTTACAGAACTGTGTTGTAAAAAATCTGCATATAAGTGGACCACACAGTTCAAGCATCAACTGTATTCATCTTTAAAGGCCACTTTTAATTGTAAAGAAAATAGGTGATCACTGCCTTCTTTTCCTTGCAGTAGCCCTTAAGCCAAGCTCCTTTGCACTGTAGATAACAACAAAGGGCCAATAGGCAGAGTTCTGAAATTGGATATTTTTCAATAAAAAGAGAGAACTGTACTCTCTAAGAGTAAAAACAAAACTAACAAAAAAAGGACCAATCCCCTGCTCTCCCTATATGAGTGAGGCACAGGCAGTGGTTTGCTGATAAGTGTTTAATAACTCTCTCTCTGGAAAAAAATGTGTTCCACACATAAAGTTATTATAAATTTTACATATAGAATGTGTACCATACAATTTACATGTAGTAATAAATACACTACATTGTTGTTGTAAACTCAGAAAAAAAGAACTAATGAACAAATTCAGTAAATTCATGAGATATGAAATGAGCATATAAAATCAGTTGTGTTATTGTTTCTTCATTTGTTTTTTTAAATTCCACATATAAGTGAAATTTATATGAGATATTTAGATATATCACACAGGCTCTTTAATACAGAGAACAAACTGATGGTTTTCCAAGGGGAGGTGGGTAGGAGGTTGGATGAACTAGATAAAGAGGATTAAGAGATGTAACTTGCAATTATACAATAAATAGTCATGGAGATGAGAAGTACAGCGTAGGAAATTTGGTCAATAATATTATAATAATTTTGGTGACAGATAGTAACTACATTTATCATGGTGAGCACTGAGTGATGTAGGGAATTGTTGAATCAATATGTTGTACACCTGAAACTAATATAACATTGTATGTCAATTATACTTCAGTAAAAAAAAAAAAAAATCAGTTGTGTTCTGTAATAGCAAACTATCTGAAAAAGGAAATGAAGAAAATGATCTCTTTATAATAGCATCAAAAAATAAAATACTTAAACATAACCAAGGAGGAGAAAGATTATGTATACTGAAAACTATAAAACATTGATGAAAGAAATTAAAAAAGCAAATGGAAATCATTCTGTGTTCATGGATTAAACTTAACATTGTTAAGATGTCTATCCTACCCCAAGCAGTCTCCAGGTTCAGTGCAACCCCTATCAAAATTTCAATGACATTGTTTACTAAAATAGAAAAAACAATTTTAATATTTATATGTAACCATAAAAGACCCCAAAGAGCCAAAACCACTTTAATGAAGAACAAACCTAAAGAAATCAACCTTCAGATTTCAAAATATATTACAAAGCTACAGTAATTAAAACAATATGGTACTTGCTTAGAAACAGACATATAGACAATTAGAACAGAATAGAGAGCCCAGAAATATATCCAAACATATATAGTCAACTGAACTTTGAAAGGGGTGTCAGGAGTACACAACTGGGAAAAAAAATGGTCTCTTCAACAAATGATATCAGAAAAATAATATTCACATGCAAAAGAATGAAAATGGGCAATTACCTTATCTTACCCTCTACACAAAAATCAACTTAAGATGGATTAAAGTCTAAAATATAAGACCTAAAACCTAGAAGAAAATTTAGGGGAAAATATTTATGACTTTGGTGTAAACAATGCTTTTCTTGACTCTAACAACAAAAGAACAAGCAATAAAAGCAAAAATAGACCAGTGGTACTACTTCAAAAGATACTTTCACAGCAAAGAAAACAATCAACAGATTGAAAGGCAATTTATGGAATGGGAGAAAATGCTTATAATCCAATTAGTTTTTAAAGTAACCTTTCTTAAGGAGCTAATATGTATACTGCAACGTGGATATCACTGAGGAGGTAGAAAGATAATGTGTGACTCTTTGAAAGAATCTCATGAATACTAACAACTGAAAGGAGACAATGAATGGCATAAGAGATCAGGTAAGTCTCCAGATGTCTACTTCATGCTATAGTGTGGATTGTAATACAGCCATGAGTATATATTTTTTTCTTCTTCAGACTTTTACTTAAATTCTAGTTGGTCAACACACAGTACAATATTGGTTTGAGGAGTAGAATCCAATGATTCGTCACTTACATACAACACCTAGTGCTCATCATAATTGCCCTCCTTAATATCGCCCATTTAGGCCATCACTGACTTTTTTCAACTGGAGTAGCAAAAGTCTAGGACAAGGTTTGAACTATTCCCATCTATAAAAGAGAGTAGTGGCACTTTTAGCTCTGTGAAACACAGGTGGGAAATACTGTTTTGAGTGCAAAACAAATTGTTATTCACATTAGTATTTATTATTTGTAGTTAAAATTATTGTTGATAGTGGTTTTATTAGAAGTACTGAAACTGATAATATCTAAACGTTCTTACAGTTTTACAAAATCAGTGTCTATTTTATATTGGGCATAAAGTGATGTTTGTTCCCCCTACATAAAACAGAGTTCTTAAAAAGTATTCAAATCCATCAGCATGAGTACTATAAAAGTCCTCATTACAAATTATAAAAATTTGAAAAAGCCACAATAAGTTTCTAAAGAAAATAAAACAGTATAACATGTAGAAATCCATGTTCTCACCTTAATAAAGAATATAAATAAATCCTCATCCCATGATTAGAAATCTTGCAATTTTCAGAAATTAAACTGTGCAAAAACAAGCAAGCATGATTGATCAGGAATAAAAACAAACAAACAAACAAAAAACAAGAAGTTCTGGTAGCCTATATATACATATAGTTCATAAAATCACTACATAGTTCATAAAATTTCCCATACATCATCACATTAAGAGAACACTGCAGCCTGCTGTCCATATTGCCACCAACCATCAAAATTACCTTCTTTGGGACTTTCCCCTTTTTAAATAATTATTTTAGTTTGACTTTACTGAGAGTGGTATGTTTCAGTTTGGGATTTTGGAAAGGCTCAATCCAACTAAGTCATACTTTTCACTAGATACTCCAAATTGTATTTATTCATTTACCTAATCTATAGTTAATGACTCTGTCCTACATGCTTGAGATAGTTCTGTATACTGAAGGTACAAGCAGTAAATAAGTCACATAATTTTCCTTTCCCAGTGGAACTTTTATTCTTGTGGGAAAGAGAGGCAATATGCAATACATGATTTAGATGATAGATAAATAGATACAGACACACAGGTGGTTGTGTATGTTACATAGAATAAAGCATGGTAGAAGATAGAAGTTACTGGTAATAGGGAAATGAATAATGAGAGAACAGGCAGTGAAATATGTCTATATCAAAAGGACTACAGACCTTAATGTAAAATGCAAAACTATAAAATTCCTAGAAATAGGAGAAAATCTATATGACTGTGGGTTTGTCGATGACTTTGTAGATACAACACCAAATGCACAATCCGTGAAAGAAAAAAATGATTAGATAAACTTCATTAAAATAAAAAATCTGCTCTGTGAAAGACACTGTTTATAGAACAAAGGACAAGCCACACAATCATAGAAAAGACTTGGAAAAGACATACTTGATAAAGGACTGTTATCTAAAATATACGAAGAGCTCTTAAAATTCAATAATCAGGGAAACAAGGCACCTGATTAAAAAATAAACCAAACACCTTAACAGATACTTCACCAAAGAAGATAGTCAGCTGGCAAATAAGCATATGAAAAAATGTTCCACATTATATGCCATCAGGGAAATGCAAATCAAAATAACAGTGAGATACCACTACATGCCCATTAGAATGACCAAAATCTGAAACAGTGGTAACACAAAATGCTGGGGGAGGATACACATTCTTCTCTAGTGCCCATGGAATATTCTCCAGAATAGTTTACATCCTAGGTCACAAATCAGGTCTCAACCAGTACCAAAAGATTGGGATTATTCACTGCATATTTTCAGACCACAATGCTTTGAAACTAGAACTCAGTCACAAGAGGAAAGTCGGAAAGAACTCAAATACATGGAGGCTAAAGAGCATCCCACTAAAGAATGAATCGGTCAACCAGGAAATTAAAGAAGAATTAAAAAATTCATGGAAACAAATGAAAAAATACAACTGTTCAAAATCTTTGGGATGCAGCAAAGGCAGTCCTAAGAAAAAGTGCATAGCAATACAAGCCTTTCTCAAGAAACAAGAAAGGTCTCAAATACACAACCTAACCCTACACCTAAAGGAGCTGGAGAAAAAAACAGCAAATAAAGCCCAAACCCAGCAGAAGAAGAGAATTAATAAAGATCAGAGCAGAAATCAATGAAATAGAAACCAAAGAACAGTAGAATAGATCAACGAAACTAGAAGCTGGTTCTTTGAAACAATTACCAAGATTGATAAACCCGTGGCCAGACTTATCCAAAAGAAAAGAGAAATGACCCAAATCAACAAAATCATGAATGAACGAGGAGAGATCACAACCAACACCAAAGAAATACAAACAATTATAAGAACATACTATGAGTAACTCTATGCCAGCAAATTAGATAATCTGGAAGAAATGGATGCATTCCTAGAGATGTATCAACTACCAAAATTGAACCAGGAAGAAATAGAAAACCTGAACAGACCTATAACCACTAAGGAAATTGAAGCAACAAACAAAAGCCCAGGGCCGATGGCTTCCCAGGGGAATTCTTTCAGACATTTCAAGAAGAATTAATACCTATTCTCCTGAAACTGTTCCAAAAAATAGAAATGGAAGGAAAACGTCCAAACTTGTTTTATGAGGCCACCATTACCTTGATCCCCAAACCAGACAAAGACTCCATCAAAAAGGAGAATTACAGACCAATGTCCTTGATGAACATGGATGCAAAAATTCCCACCAAAATACTAGCTAATAGGATCCAACAGTACATTCAAAGGATTATTCACCACTACCAAGTGGGATTTATCCCTGGGCTGCAAGGTTGGTTCAACATCTGCAAATCAATCAACGTGATACAATACATTAACAAAAGAAAGAACAAGAATCATATGATCCCCTCAATAGATGCAGAAAAAGCATTTGACAAAGTACAGCATCCTTTCTTGATCAAAACTCTTCAGAGTATAGGGATAGAGGGTACATACCTCAATATCATAAAAGCCATCTATGAAAAACCTACAGCAAATATTCTCAATGGTGAAAAGCTGAGAGCTTTCCCCCTAAGGTCAGGAACGTGGCAGGGATGTCCACTATCACCACTGCTACTCGCATAGTATTAGAAGTCCTAGCCACAGCAATCAGACAGCAAAAAGAAATCAAAGGCATCCAAATCAGCAAAGAAGAAGTCAAACTCTCACTGTTTGCAGATGATATGATACTTTATGTGGAAAACCCAAAAGACTCCACCCCAAAACTGCTAGAACTCATACAGGAATTCAGTAAAGTGGCAGGACATAACATCAATGCACAGAAATCAGTGGCATTCCTATACACCAACAACTTGACAGAAGAGAGAGAAATTAAGGAGTCAATCCCATTTACAGTTGCACCCAAACCATAAGCTACCTAGGAATAAATCTAACCAAAGAGGCAAAGGATCTGTACTCAGAAAACTATAAAATACTCATGAAAGAAATCGAGGAAGACACAAGGAAATGGAAAAACGTTCCATGCTCATGGATTGGAAGAACAAACATTGTGAAGATGTCAATGCTACCTAGAGCAATCTACACATTCAATACAATCCCCGTCAAAATACCATCCACTTTTTTTTCAAAGAAATGGAACAAATAATCCTAAAATTTGTATGGCAGCAGAAAAGACCCTGAATAGACAGAGGAATGTTGAAAAAGAAAAGCAAAGCTGGCGGCATCACAATTCCGGACTTCCAGCTCTATTACAAAGCTGTCATCATCAAGACAGTATGGTACTGGCACAAAAACAGACACATAGATCAATGGAACAGAATCGAGAGCCCAGAAATGGACCCTCAACTCTATGGTCAACTCATCTTTGACAAAGCAGGAAAGAATGTCCAATGGAAAAAAGACAGTCTCTTCAACAAATGCTGTTGGGAAAATGGGACAGCCACATGCAGAAGAATGAAACTGGACCATTTCCTTACACCACACACAAAAATAGACTCAAAATGGTTGAAAGACCTAAGTGTGAGACAGAAGTCCATCAAAATCCTAAAGGAGAAGACAGGCAGCAACCTCTTCGACCTCAGCCGCAGAAACTTCTTCCTAGAAACATCGCCAAAGGCAAGGGAAGCAAGGGCAAAAATGAACTTTTGGGATTCATCAAGATAAAAAGCTTTTGCACAGCCAAAGAAACAGTCTACAAAACGAAAAGACAACCGACAGAATGGGAGAAGATAATTGCAAATGATATATCAGATAAAGGGGTAGTATCCAAAATCTATAACGTACTTATCAAACTCAACACCCAAAGAACAAATGATCCAATCAAGAAATGGGCAGAAGACATGAACAGACATTTTTCCAAAGAAGACATCCAAATGGCCAACATACACATGAAAAAGTGCTCAACATCATTCAGCATAAGGGAAATCCAAATCAAAACCTCAGTGAGATACCACCTCACACCAGTCAGAATGGCTAAAATTAACAAGTCAGGAAATGACAGATGTTGGCGGGGATATGGAGAAAGGGGAACCCTCCTACACTGTTGGTGGGAATGCAAGCTGGTGCAGCCACTCTGGAAAACAGTATGGAGGTTCCTCAAAAAGTTGAAAATAGAGCTACCATACGATCCAGCAATTGCACTACTGTGTATTTACCCCAAAGATAAAAAATGTAGGGACCCAAAGGGGCATGTGCATCCCTATGTTTATAGCAGCAATGTCCACAATAGCCAAACTGTGGAAAGAGCCAAATGTCCATCGACAGATGAATGGATAAAGAATAGGTGGTATATATACAATGGAATAGTATGCAGCCATCCAAAGGAATGAGATATTGACATTTGCAATGACGTGGATGGAACTGGAGAATGTTATGTTGAGTTAAATAAGTCAATCAGAGAAAGACATGTATCATATGACCTCACAGATATGAGGAATTATTAATCTCAGGAAACAAACTGAGGGTTGCTGGAGTGGGGGGTTGGAAGGGATGGGGTGGCTGGGTGATAGACACTGGGGAGGGTATGTGCTATGGTGAGTGCTGTGAATTGTGCAAGACTGTTGAATCACAGATCTTACCCCTGAAAGAAATAATGCAATATATGTTAAAAAAAAAAAAAAAAGATAGCAGGAGGGGAAGAATGAAGGGAGGCAAATCGGAGAGGGAGACGAACCATGAGAGACGATGGACTCTGAAAAACAAACTGAGGGTTCTAGAGGGGAGGTGGGTGGAGGGATGGGTTAGCCTGGTGATGGGTATTAGAGAGGGCAGGTTCTGCGTGGAGCACTGGGTCTTATGCACAAACAATGAATCATGGAACACTACATCAAAAACTCATGATGTAATGTATGGTGATTAACATAAAAAATTAAAGAAAAAATGCTGGGGGAAGGTATGGAGCTATAATAACTCTTATTCATTGCTAGTGGGAATACAAAATGGTAGAGCCATTATAAAAGACAGTTTTAGAAGCTTATTTTATATGTGTGTGCTATATCTTTACCTATAATTATATGATGTCACACTCAAAAAGCTGTGCAAATTTAATGTATGCAACCTGATGACGTGATGATTTTGGAGATAAGTATACACATATACACCTGTGAAACCATCCCCACAATCTATACCATAAAGATATCCATAACCTCCGGGGCGCCTGGGTGGCTCAGTTGGTTAAGCGACTGCCTTCGGCTCAGGTCATGATCCTGGAGTCCCGGGATCGAGTCCCACATCGGGCTCCCTGCTCGGCGGGGAGTCTGCTTCTCCCTCGGACCCTCCCCCCTCTCATGTGCTCTCTCTCTCTCTCATTCTTTCTCTCAAATAAATAAAATCTTTAAAAAAAAAAATCCATAACCTCCAAAAGTTTCCCTCTACCCTTTTAATGTATTATCATCATTTGTGTGATAAAAACTTAACATAAGATCCCCTCTTAGCAATTTTTTAAGCACAAAATACTTGTCAGACAACTAAACATATTCTTATCATATAATCCAGCCATTGCACTTCATGGTATTTTCTCAAAATAAGTTGAAAACATATGTCCTTGCAAAAAGCTGCACATGAATGTTTATAGCATCTTTATTCATTATTGCCAAAATTTACAGTCAACCAAGGTGTCTTTTGGTAGGTGAATGGATAAATAATCTATGGTACATCTAGACAATGTAATATTATTCAGCGCTAAAAAGAAATGAGCTATCAAGACATGAAAAGATGTAGAGGACTATTAAATGCATATAACTAAATGAAAGAAGTCTGCCTGGAAAAGCTACCTATTCTATGATTTCAGCTATATGACTCTGGAGACAGTAAAAAGATCAGTGGTTGCCAGACATAAAAGGGAAGGATAGAATGAAACAGTAAAGCACAAAGGATTTTTAGGGCAATGAAATTACTCTCTATGATACTGTAAGAGTTGATATATGTCATCATACATTTAAAAAAAATTGAATGTACACCACCAAGAGTGAAACCTAATATAAATTATGTGTTTTGGGTGATAATGATACATCAATGCAGGCTTATTAATTGTAACAAATATACTACTCTGGTGGCCGATATTGACAAATGGGAGGAAAGCTATGCATGTGTGGCTGTACATACCATAAGTGGGAAATCTCTGCACCTTCTCATCAATTTTTCTGTGAACCTAAAAATGCTCTAAATATAAATTACGTCTGGAAAGGCAAAATTTAAGCTGAAAATAAATAATTTGGAGTTAGCAATATGAAGTCCTAGAACTGGGTTATAGGCAGAAGAAACAAGGTTGAAGCCTTGAAACTGTTATGATCTGTATAGTTAAATATAGAAAGAAATCCAGTGTGACAAGAGCATGGTAGACAATTTTGCTACCACATGAAGGCAGATAAGTAGTCAGAAGCCAGATTATTAAAGCTAGAGCCAAAGAAAAGCTTATGTTAAATGTAACATCAGTACACTAGAAGATTTAGAGTAATAGAGGAACATGATTTCTGTGTTGAGAATGGGACGTTGGATGGTGGTGAGAGATGAAGCAGGCGGCTTTCCCTGCATTTAGGGGGCTTTGGGATTTCCAAGTGAAATATAATGGCTGATTAGACTTCTAGTGTAGAAGTGATAGAAATGGAGTGAGGTAGACCAATTCAAATATTTCAGTGGTAGCCAGGCAGGACTTAATAATAGATAAGCCTGGTGAAAAAGAAAAAAAGAAAGGAGAATTATGAATGACCCACCAATTTCTGATTGAATCACAAGTTAGATGTCATCATCATTTACTGAGTTGGTGAAAACCTGGGGAAAATAGGTTTGGGTGGAGAAATATTGAGTCTTCTTTGGGACATGTTAATTTTGAGATGTCTGGAAGACAGTCAAGCAGATGCTTTAACTTAATATTTGGACACATGATTTTGGAACTGAGTGGAAAAATCAGTACTGGATTTAAAATGTAGCTTTTAACAGAATACGAATGATGTTTAAAGCCACGGGAATGGAATGGACTAATTTTAAAGAAATACATAGAAGAGAGGGGTTAGGATAAAAAGGCACTGCAATTGGAACTTCAAGAGGTTGGGGGACCTTCATGCATTTCAGTAGAATAGTAAAGGTAGGAGCTCAATTATTCTTACACTATACCTATTAAATTTTAATCTCAAACATGATTTTTGAATACCATGTTAGAAAATAATCTAAGGGCTTCATTTTAGAGGAATAGAGGATTTTAAATGATTCCCTAAATCCTCAGAGAGATGCTAACATTTCCAGAAAATTTTGAAAATCTGAATATAGAATTTTACTTATAAGCAGAGGGAGAGGAAGAATGAGTTCTTGGAAGAGGGAGAGAAAATTGGGGCAGGATTTGACTTTTCGTCATTACAGCTGATTCAGATATGCAAGATAAGGCCACCTGGAAGACCACAAGTTACAAATGGACATGAATCCTTCAGTAGATGTTGTAGGGTAACAAGGGCCAGTGTTTAAAGAGCAGGTAAGACAATACCTCATTATTCACAGAAAACTAGTTCTTGAAAACATGTGGAACTAGGAGTATCAAGGAGAAGCTTTATTTTGCATCCAGAATTTATATTGGGAGGGATAAAAAGGAGAGAAAATCACTTAGCAAGTTCTGCAACAATGTTGAGTTTACCTGAGAGAATGTTGAAGAGATTTAATTGCTACTAGTTGGGTATTTGAAGAGTTTTGCATTTTGCTTTATGTTGCTCTTTATTTTTCTTCACATTGATAGGACTTAAGGATCACAAGGGAGTTTAATATAGTTGTAAAGATTTAAAATTTTTGTTTTCACATCTAAATAACTTATAGATGTTTTCACTCTGTTAGACTCTTGAATTCTGGTGAATCTGGCTTTGCATATGTATTAGCAGTTTATCAGGCATCTCTTTAATATGCCTTATTTATTTATGTATGTTGGTAGTTTGGAAAATTTTGATTTTCAGCCTATCTTAAATGGAGAGAAGTTGGCTACTATTTTCTGTTTGAAGAAAAAAAAACCTCTTGATAAGTAATTGTTAAAGTTATCATGTATCATAAGCCAGTCTCCTCTCTCATGATAAATAATTCTACTTAACTTTTTCATTGATACTTTTAAAGTCTTCATTCTGTGGTATTCTTGCCAAATTCATCAGTAATTTCTTATTAATGAGAAAGCCCAAAGTAAATGCTACTAAATTCTGCCAAATTCCAGTAAAAACATAGCAGATTCCACAGACTTTTATAAGAATGGTAGATTTCAATTCAAACTTTAAATTGACTCAATTATTGTTTAATCCAATTTGACTTAATATAAAACAAAACTAACTTACCACGGTATGTTTATCTTGGCTCAGAAGTGGAACATTCAACATCCATCAACCTGGTTGTGGCTATTTACACTTCAGGGATGGTGGTATAGTTTCACAAGGAAATCATATTTTCTTATTTTCTTCCTTCCTTCCATTCTTTTTTCTTCCTTCCTTCCATTCTTTTTTCTTTCTTTCTTTCTTTCTTTCTTTCTTTCTTTCTTTCTTTCTTTCTTTCTTTCTTTCTTTCTTTCTTTCTTTCTTTCTTTTTCTTTCTTTCTTTCTTTCTT